CAAAAGGTCGCAAAGTTCAAGGGGGCCGAATACTTTCGCAAGGCACTGTATGTGCAGAACGGGATGTATGGTTGGTGACAAAATTGTGAATCATTTAATGTATGCAGACGACCTTGTGATTTTTAGTCCCAGCTCAGCAGGTCTTGAACGTGTGCTCAATGTTTGGGGAACATCACAATGTCAAGTATAATGCTGTCAAAAATGTCATTATGATATGCCGTACAAACGAGGACAGGTCCCTTGTATTTCCTTCTTTTAAGCTATCTGACAATATTTTAACTGTGTGCAGTGAAGTTAAGTATTTGGGTCATGTCATTAATGATTGTCTGATGACGGGGATATATATCGGCATGTTGTATGTACAAGTTAATGTACTGGCACGGAAATTTGGTGCATGCTCCGTGGGAGTAAAACTGGCTTTGTTTAAAGCGTATTGTACTTCCTTGTACACTGCCCATCTGTGGTGTAAGTATAAAAAAGGCTGTCTTCGGAAACTGTCGGTAGCTTACAATCCTAAGGCTATTATTGAGAAAGCCTAGATGGACGAGTGCAAGTGAATTGTTCGTGTCATCTCGAGTTAGTACATTTTCCGCTGTTTTAAGAAACCTGATGTTTAAATTTATTTGTCGCTTGAATGGTTCAAAAAATCATATCATTTTATTGTTGACTGATGTTGCATAGTGACATGCGTTTTACTTCGGTTCTCTGGAAACACTGGTATGCGTGTCTTTTAAAGGGGCAGTAGTTTTATGGGTGTTCTTTTTGTTCTCGTTTTTATGTATTTTCTGTCTTTATTGTTTTGTTTTAAACTGTTCTTTTATTGCTTTTATTTGTCTCTGAACCTGGACCTTGAATCGGTAATAAAGTGTCATTCATTCATTTACTCTCTCTCACCCACACAAAAATTAAAGTAAAAAAATAAAATAAAATAAATAAAGATAAAATGTAATTGCACTGCATCCAGCAGTCCATTTACCATGAAATTCCACATCAAGAGAATTAAGTGACAGGTGGTTTGATGGTACTGAACAGAGAGCAGCCCAGCAGCTGGCAAGGACGCTTTCAGATGCGCCGACCTGTCCCTAAACATGCACTAGTTCTTTGAACAGCTGCTAAGTGAGGTGAGCAGGTCTTGATGTGACCCTTCTGACTCTCTGCTCAATCCTGTTGACCTCCTACTGTGAGTAGGGCTCGTTTATTAATTTGATGATACTGATATTAAGTTGTGTATAAACAAGAAAGGAAATCTATGATAGCAATTCTTATTACATGGCTGTCTGTCCAATAGCTAGCTACACTTGCCTTTCAAACAGCACACGAAAATGTCAACTGTCCTGGTCTCTCCTTTTCAGTCATGTATACTCACGACATTCTGGGAGAATGTAGCTTACAGGTTGCTCAGCTCTTTAGGTTAGTCTTAAGATTGAAAATGGTGGTGATTTGATTCATTTAACTTACTATAAAGTCGCAACGGAAGCCCTCATATTCTTACAGAGGGTCTTCGAAGGAGAACCACTGCTATAAAATAGGTGGCAAAAAATAAATTGTTTACACCCAGCTGATCTGCTGTTTGGTTGTTTACTGGTTGTTGGGCAGAAACAGAAAGTCTAGACAGGTGTTAGCCATACCATGGTTGCAGGGTTCCAGGTGGTAGAAGGTGCTGTTTTGGGTTGCCAGTTGGTTCCACCTGTCAGCTTCGTCTCACCAGGCTGACTCCAGTGAAGATCACTACAGAGATCAAGTGTAATAATGTTGTACAGTTGTGGTAAAAAGAAATTCGGATTTTATTAATTGGGGGGGGCTAAAACAATTGTGTGGACCTCACCACAGATCACAACAACAGATTTCACTATGTGGTCACCGTTTCCCAAAAGTAAACCAACATTCAGAAACCAGGTGAAAGTACACCCTATAATTCAATAATATGTAGAACCACCTTTAGCACTAATAACTTGAAGTAAATGTTTTCTGTAGGAGTTTAGCAGGCACTCACATCATTTTGAAGAAATGTTGTTGGTTTGCTTGAGATCACTGTCCTTTACCTTTTTCTAGACAATTTTTTGTGAAAACCATTTCTGTCCAGTTTTTTTCAAATTATACTGCCATGAACATAAATATTTTATGTTCTTCCAGAGGCCTGCAGGTCACATGCTCTTGGTCTTTCCTTTTAATATCTCTGACCATTAAATGATCCTAATTTGCTGGGATGCCCACTCCTGGGCAGACTGGCAGCCATCTTGAAGGCTCCTCATTTGTAAACAATCGTTCTCACTGTAGAGTGGTGGATTTCAAATTGTTTGAAGATGGCCTTGTAAACTTTAATGGAGTGGTGAGCAGTCATTATTGCTTCTCTGAGGTCATGGCTAATGTCCTTTTTTCTTGGCCTGGTGTAGACACACACCTCAGTGCTTCAGAACACCAAACGCCAAAAGTTCTGCTTTTATAGAGGTAGTCACACTTCTTAATGATGGACTAATCCTGTGCATTTGATTAGTAACACTTAGCTGCTAATTGTGCGGATGCTGTAAAGCATCCATACTATTATTCTGGTTTCTTCCACTGTTTTTCAGCATGTTCCAACTCCAGCATACTTTCACCTAGAAAGGCCATTTAGGTATCCAAATGTTCAGCTTTTTAAGGATGTGTGCTTGCATACAACTTTTTTGTAACATTTATACTTTTTAATAAATTCAGCTTTTTTCACAAAAATTTTCCCATTGGAAATGAATGGGAAAAAATTTTCACATATCTTCAGCATACCTTCAGCTAAAACCACCATTTCAACTAATAACTATTCAGCAACTCTTCAGCTATTTATACTGTAAACAGCTTTTTGATATTTATGGTTTTTGCATAATTATCATTTACATTTTATGCCTCATTTCAATAGCCACACTGATATTTCTCAGTGTGTAACACTACTCTTTCTTTCTCATACACACACATACACAAACACCTACACACCTAAATGTCTTTGTGTGGCCCACGTTCTGTGACTTCTTTGTGAGGGCCACTACTTCTACTATAGCTATAATGGTGCAAAACACAAATCTATCACGAGGGGGCAATAGAGAATCAAAATGTCACTTCAGAATTCAGAAAACTCAAAATAAAGAAAAATCTTTTCAGTCAGTGTGAGGGCCCAGAGATGATAAGAGCCTGGCCAGAAATGTGTGGTTCTCCATGGGTGAAGCAGAGTGCAGCATGGCCTGTTTGGGACTTAGAAAAATTAATGACCTGTGGTCCTGGTACTCAATATTGGGACTTTCTGTTCCCACACAGTGTAATACCAGAGGCATGAAACTCCATTTGGAGTACCAGGGGCACGAAGTTGTGGCTGGGCAGTTTTAAATTGTTTAGCCCAGGGAGGGGGCTTAAGCGTGTGTACACAGGTTCAACCAGTGCGCCGGGTGCCTGGAGCTCTGGTTCACCAGGGGAGCTAGCCGGTTCCTTTCCCCCCACTATGGAGCCAGGTCAACAGATTTTTTTGTAGTTTTCTTTTTGGAAAAAACCTAAAAAAAAAAAAAAAAGGGTCAATTTGACCTGGACGCAACACAAGGCTTAAATCTGATTGCATTTACATCTAACACTTCACCCAAATTACAAAGAATAAACATTTTGTGACTACTTGCTTTATCCAGCCTTGCCGAGAGCTACTATCTGAGGTGCAGAGGCTGTGAGATTTGTGCCTCTGAAAAATTACATTTAAAATATTCATCATCAACTTGTTTTCTTCTGAAACTGTGTCCTGATGACTGTAGATTAACCATCTACCACACCATCAGTGGTATTTGTTGGCTTTCTGCTGAAGAAGGAGTCTGAGCAGCAGGGACCCTGTACATGTAACTTTTCACGGTTTTATGGATGGCTCAAAAAATTCCATCTGGCTTTATTGGATTTCTGGTGAGCAGAAATCAACTAAAATGCCAACCCCCTGCGGGTTCTGCTTCAAGTGCCTTGAGTAAGACCTCTTTGCATAGTGATGCACTGCCCCAGTTGTCGCCACACCGCTGCTTTTTCTGCAGAACTCCACGGCCTGCACTGGCATTTGTTTATGCTGAGTAACTGTAGGTCCACAGCTGAAATAGAAATGACAAATGTGATAGACATTCTCAATATTGATAAATCAAAAATTTATCTGGTGATCTAATTTGTAATGTGTTGTCCACATCTACTGTAATTAACACTACTCAAGTCTGAGAACTGAGCACTACCTGTTTTCTCTGTCCTTTAGAGCTTGTGTGATGGTCCTGTAGCTGAGGCCTGTTGAGTCAGCATGTCTGATTCTTCTGCAACAGAAGAACACGTCACCTCACCTCACTATTAACCACGAATCATTGTCTTATCACATAATGCAATATTTCATTCCACAGTACTCCTCACATGACCCAAAAAAATGTTCATACCATCTGAAACTTGAGATGATTCAGATGCCATCTTTGACCTCTTGCGTTTGGAGGACTCTTAAAGAGAAGAAGTAACCAGGATGGACATTTTTAGTTACTTTCTGTCATTTATAGATGGGAAAGAAAGCTGATATTCAAGATAACAGCTCTGATGGCTTCATACCATAGGAGTCTTGAGCTGGTTCCAAAGACTTCTCA